AAGATAACACTTAAAAAATTCCTTAGCGAGGCAATCAAGAAGTTATGGCGGTGCGACAACCCTTCGGCTAAGTTCCAGCAGTGTGCCTCTGGCCCAAAAAATGAAAAGCAGAGCGTTGAAAATTTTAGCACTTTTTTTCATCCGTCTTTACCAATGATGATGGAAATTTGCCAAGCTTTAGTGATTCTTTCAACAATCCTCCCATTAATGATTTAGATATAAGTGAGCAAGGAGTTTTTAACCTTTTACTTAACATTGAATCATAAAAGAGCCCAGGGCAAAACGAAATTCCTAATAAATTTTTAAAAAGGTATGCTGAGTGAGTTTTTAAATACCCTACTATAATCTTTATATTGTCTAAGAGTAGCGGTTCTTTTCCCAGCGCGTGGAAAATAGCAAACATTATACCCGTTCACAAGAGTGGTAGTTTTAATGATGTCTGTAACTTTGCCCCCATTTCCCTTACTAGTATATGCTCTAAGATTCTTGAGCCTATTATGTCTAAACGTCTACTTGCTTACCTTGAGAACTATGACATATTATTTAAATCACACTATGGTTTACGCAGAGGTCTTTCCACGACTACCCAGCTCATAGAAACTGTTCATGATCTCTCTCAAAGTATAAACTGTCGTGGTCAAACCAATATAGAATTTCTGGATTTCGCGAACGCGTTTAACAAAGTATCTCACCGAAAACTGTTATTAGAAATCAGTGCTGTCTTAAAAAATCCAGCCATCACGAAGTGGTTTTACTCTTATCTTTCATCACGGGGACAGTATGTTAATGTTGGGGCCAGGGATGGGCAAAATACATGCAAATATGTATCGAAATAAAAATACAAAATACTTCGTCAAAAATGTATTTAATTACAAATCTAATTACTTTTCCAAAAATGCAATTAAATACAAGATACAAATACAACCAAATGTATTTGGTCTCCTCCAAATACTTTTCCAAATACACTCCCTAAAATTTGCGTCAGCGACTTCAGGGAATCTGCAAAAAGGTTTCTGGGTATCTCATTTTAATTTTGCATCGTACACTCGAGAGTTAGTGTACGAGGCTCTAATAACGTAATCACAATATAATCACAAAAAAGAAATGTTATCAGCTTGGACGTAATAGGTGGAAAAAGTAAAGAGCTTCAAGCAGCTTTTTTTGTCGATTACAGTTTGGTATAGTCCAAAAAAGAACCGAGACGACAGAGACGCGCAGCACTAGCTAGAGAAATTTTATTGTTGCAACTCACATCAGTTACGAAAATCTGGACGACCCGCGCATTTAGAATCTTCCAGGCAAAAATATGGATGGAAATCAGGCTGGAAAGCATCACAAGTTGTCACGGGCAGTTAATTAGCCAGTCTGCCTGTGAACGTCGACTTCGTCACTGTTCTTGCCCTGGACTAGCACCGTAATCATAAAGTCACTAAACATTTGTGCTTGATTGAGATACACTGCACTCGGTGCGGAGCGTAGCTTTCTTACTGCTCTGGACAGTGACAATGAATTTGAGGGATGCATTTTCGCCCACAAAATTGTATTTAATTACAATTGTATTTGAAATACCCACGTTTTAGTATTTAAATACACACGTTAAATACATTACCCAATTTGTAATTAAATACAAATGCAAAATACACAAAGTATTTCAAATACGTATTTCAAATACTTTTATTTGAAATACTGCCCATCCCTGGTTGGGGCTAAACAAATCCACTATGTCCCCAGTTGTTTCAGGCGTAACCCAGGAGAGTGTCTTCAGTCCTCTTTTATTTCTGATTTTTATTAACGATCTGTGCAATGACATCTCACTTCCAATCAGACTTCGCCGACGATTGTGTGATTTACAATAAAATTGAAACATCAGACGATGAAATCGAACTAAACTGTAACTTGGAAAAAATTAAGAAGTGGTGTAACAATTGGCAAACGGTGCTAAACCCTGAAAAATCAGTCTTCATATCTATTACGATAAAGAAATGTTTTGGCTTATAATTATTTCATTGTGGGCGTTGAGCTTGAGAGAGTAAAAGAACATAAATACTTAGGCTAAATATTTATTCCTGATCTAAACCGAAACACTCACATTGATAACGTATGCATCAAAGCTAATAAAGCGATGTGGTGCCTTCGACGAAACCTCCCTATTGCAACTCCTGAAGTAAAAAAATCTGGCTTATATAACGCTGGTAAGACTCGTCATTGAGTATTATAAAACTGTATGAGACCCATATACCGTTGCAAATTGCAATAAGCAGGAGAAAATTCAGCGACTCGCATCCAGGTTTATTTTTATTAAATACAGCCACGTTCATTCCCCCACAAAACTATGTGAATTTGCCAATCTTCCTACATTTGAATCAAGAACGAAATATGGAAGGTTGAAATTTCTTTTTCAGATTATTCATAATTGCGTAAAAATATAAAAAATCTGAGTACTTTGAAATTTGCACCACCGAATCCTCAAGACATCGTCATAGCATGTACATTTCTAATCCTAATGTTAAAAACGATTGCTTTCAGTACAATTTTTTTCCAAGGGCTATTAAAGACTGGAATATGTTACCTGATTCCGCTGTGTCACCTATGTCGCTAAATAAATTTCTGGAGCGTATCGCTGATATTGTTTTATCTGCTAAAAATTAAAACCCCTATAGCTTGTGTAAAGATATGTTTTAAAACAACAAGGTGATCCGTTTCGTAAACTGCCGATATTACGAAGCGTCTCGATATACTATTTACCTATGTGTATGCTTGCATGTAAGCGTACATGTTTGTTTGTTGCTGTCGTGTTTTCACCCCTGTAATAGCCCTGTGCAAGGGCTGACAGTATCAATATATAAATGAATGAATGAATAAATGATTCAATCAATCAATGAACTGGTTCGCGCTTGGTGGAGCGGGAACCGAACCGTTATTTCGGAAGCATCATTGATCCAGATCCCAAAGAGAACAAAATGCAAAGCTAGTGAACCAGAGCCCGAATTGAACCATAAAGATGACGGTTCCACCACCTACTTTTAACCAGGTTATCTTCTAGATTGCGTAACACACAAATGAATAATTGGACTGAATATGTTAAGAAATTGCAAGAATCGTACACCATCGTGAAAGTGTTTTTTTTTTTTGTTTGTTTCAAAGCGCGTCACATAATATGGTGCTATAGTCCCTACTTCTGGCATCGAATACCACTTTGACTATGCCAGCGATTTTCTGTTCCTTCCGGAATTCACGGAAATTTGTTGCTGGTATACGTGGTGTCGCCTCTGGCAGCGCACTAGCGGTGCTGTTGTGTTCGTGTGTCAGCCACACACGAACAAGACAGTCCAATTTAATTATCAAGTGTGTCTTTGAGGCTCCCGCGCAGCCCTCTACGGCGGTGTTATTGTGTTGAGTTGTACATTTTTGTTTTAATCAACCTCTCCACTTGAGGTAGAAAAACGGATGAAAAAGAATCCGAAGTGAGAAATATTATTAGTACGCCTTCAGAATTTTACTTCGTCTGTAACCAAATCGTGGTGTACCATCTTTAAACAAAAGCATCACTCTACCGAAGAAATCATCTCTTGAGCGAAAAAGATAGAACTATGTCTATTCCGCGTCCAATTTCGGAAACTTCTACCGTTCCGCTCACTTTATCGCAGGTTAAAAAAATGACTGATAGTAGCAAGGCAAAAGACCTGTCGCATTAAATCATACCGGGAAAATTGGCTCGCCTTTTTTAGCAAAACAACTTTAATACAAGCAATTATTGTTGCTTTAGAATCATTCTGCGGGTTTTCAAAGGCTTCAGACCAAACAACTCTGGAATTTGACACGTAATTACTTAATTGGTTTGTTATTTAGTATCATATAATGCACGTGTAAACTTTGAACTAAATAGAGGGTGTTTCCAGAAACGACTGCAAAAGGGCCACTGCGAAGGCTCACATCGCACAGATGCACTTAAGGTGTGTCTTCGAACTGTCACCGATGTCAAAAAGGAAAACCTGATATAACAGTCCGGATGCTTTATTACCTAGCCTTTCCTACGTGCGATCCGTGACGCCGCACGGGCGTTACGAATTTTAAACAAGGGGCGGCATTTCTTGCGCGGAGAGGCGTTCCGATAACACACCGAAACGCAGAAACGCCTCCGAATTTAGCATCTTTAGAAACGCCGTAAAATGCTGCGCGTGCCATATGTCATTTTAATGTAAGTGTATCTAGTAGTTTCCGATTGTGCACATCAATATTCTAATTAGAACCATAATTAACAATTTATTTACTAAAATGTATAACGTACCCAAATATATTGAACGCTGATAGTAGTGTTTAATGGTTCGTTTGACACAAACAACTACGGCTTCAAGGAGCAAATTTGCCGGCGTTTGCAAAAAGAGCCTGTTTATTTGTTTCATAAAAAAAAAAAAGAAAATGCCACACACTTTCAAGTGCCACAGAATAAGGTTTTTGACAATTGAAGACCGAAATGGGTCCTATCAAATTATGAACGTGCACAAAATGTAGTTCTATATATTTTAACAAAAAACAAATTGGACGTTTCAGTGATTTATCCAGCGTAAGGTTGGTCTGCCGGTAGGGGCGACGCTGGTTTACACTGTAAATGAGCAATTTTGCCAGTGCAGTACAACTGCTAACCTGGGGTCTTTAACGTACTCACGCAGTAGTGATACACGACCGCACGCCGGTACGATGCTCATCCAGATCGAAACGGGCAGGTGTGGGGCTCGAACCCAGGATCCCTGGGTTCTGCAGCGCGAGCTTTCGCTCCACGCGCGTCGAGCTGGGTGTGCGCTTCAGCCCACTCGGCTTTCTTTTTTTTTTTTTGCCAGCTTGGCTTTTATTAGTTTAAAAACATTTTGCTATTTACAACCTAAAAGGTCAGCACTTCTGACACACCTCTCACAATTGTGCGCACATTTTCAGCGTGACGCTGTTTGTCGCGTTGGTCTGCGTAGCCACACCTTTCCAAAGAGTGCAATACCTTCGGGACCTTATAGCTTTGAAAGGGTCCTGAACCTCTCCCAGTGTTCCGTCTCCTTGAACGAAGTTTCTTTTATGATGGATGACGTGTAGTGAAATCCCTCTAAGAAGTGGCGCCACGCACACTTCCCTCGTTCTCGTACCAAGGTGTGATCAGTACGCGAGTTCCATAACGCATGCAAACCGATCAGGGTCAGGAGCTCGTAACATTTGCTTTGTTGCTTTTCCGGTGTGTCTAGAAACTTCATGCTGCACCAGGTTGGGTATAGATCGATCCGAAGCTCCGCGCGGAGCTGAGCCCAAAATAGTTCTGCATTAGTACAATACATGAATGTATGTTGCAGTGTTTCGGGAACAGGGCAAATGACACAATTGACTCCCCAAGGCAGAAAAAAACCTTTTTGTTCCTCCCAGGTGTTGACCGGTAAAACTTCGGTATGAAAGCGCACAAAAAAATCCTTTATCCCTGGCCGAACTGGGTATAGACTCAGACGCTTGAACACGTTCGACTTTTCGCAGCCAGGAAACATTTGGCGATACATTGGAGGCGGCATTACCAGGTCTAGAGTGTCCCAATAAAGACGTCTGCGTTTGACGCTGTTTAGGTATTCCCACGAAAAACGTTCTTCAAAAAAACGAATCGCATCTCTAATTTCTCTATAGTATCGTAGGATCGTGGTCCTTTCTGGAGTGCCAACGGTCTCTTTAGTCCATGGAGCCAGATATGGTCCACCGAGCTCCTTTAACGCCGCCATCAACACCGGGCTGGTTGCTCGGTTTCGGAAGACAAGGAAACGTTGCACTTTCAATTTTATGTCTAGGTTTGCAAGTCCCAGCCCTCCCTTCTGCTTGCTGATAAAGAGATTGTTTCTGCGCATTCTTTCAAACCCAGAGCCCCACACAAACGTTGCACAAAACCGATGCACTTTTTGCACGTCGAGTTGCCTATATCGAACGGCTTGCGCCGAATACCAGACAATGGAAAAAAATACTGTATTACTAATAACCGCTTTGTTCAGTAGCGGCACGTATCTGCCCTGCCATTCTGGAAGTTTGGCCCTCAGTGTGCTCAGGTGAATGCCATCCAGTCCGGTCCTTAGCTGCTCTGTGCCCAGCCCGACCCCAAGATAGTTGGAAATGGATGTGGACCACATGATGCCCAAGAATTGTTTTGGCTTGGATGCCCACGGCCCCAGCCAGGCTCCAACAGACTTTTTGGGGTTAATTTCAGCTCCAGAAACCTCGCTAAACTGCCTTACAAGTTCAACGGCCCGCACTATATCTTTCTGATTTTGACCAATTAGGGTGACGTCATCCGCGTAAGCCAGCAACCGTGCTGACGTTGCACCCAGGCTTACGCCTTCTATGATGAGGTCATTCAAGATTGCCTTACACATCGGTTCTAGATAGATAGCAAAAAGTATGGGCGACATTGGGCATCCTTGGCGTACCGACGACTTCACGGGAATGGAGCGTGACTTGCGTCCATTGATAAGGATCCGTGTGCTTATGTCCCTGTAACATATTTTGATGAAATTGACCAGAAATCGTCCGGTTCCACAGTGCTCTAATAATGAAAATAAGAAGGAGTGATGCACTTTGTCAAACGCTTTTTTTTAAATCTATTTGTAGGACAGCCGTAGGACGTCCCATCGCTTCTGCCGTTTCTGCTATAATCCTCATTGTATGCAGATTAGTGAATATCGATCTATTTTTGAAACCATACGTTTGATGATTTCCAACAATGGTATGGAATGCAACTTCGAGGCGTTTTGATATGATTTTTGCTAGGATCTTATAATCCGTTGTCAGAAGGCTTATTGGTCGAAAGTCTTCGCTACTTCTGATTGACCCATCACTTTTCCGCTTTGGAATTAGTACCGTTGTTGCCTGTCGCATTGAAGGTGGAAGGAGGTTTCGATTATATATATCCGCATACACTTTCGTTAAAACTGGCACTAGTTCCGATGAAAACATTTTGTAGAAAGCTGCACCGAGCCCATCAACCCCGGGTGACTTCCTTGGTGCCAGATCCTTAATTGCACATTGTACCTCCGCCTCGCTGATGGGCCCGTTAAGGCACTCCACCAGTTTCTCCGGTACCTTGGGCATAACTGCTAGCACTTCCTTCATTGCTTGTCTGTTGGGAGATTTTTCTTCACCTAACATTTTACTAAAAAAGGCGACTAACTATAATTCTATTTCTTCGGGTTTCAAGAGTATGTTTTCTCCGCTCTGAAGTTCATGGATGTTGTTGCGGCACACGCGCTCACGTTCGCGCTTTTTAAATATCTTTGTGAAGTCTTCTGACCGTTCGAGCGTGCGTAACCTTGACCTCACCATAGCCCCTCGATGTTCTTCCTCTAGTTGTTGCAGCAGTTGGGCCTTGCATTCTTGAATGTCAGCCGTAAACAAGCCAGGTGTTAAATTCTCTTCTCTTATTAAAGTTTGCAATGCCTTCATCAGGTTTCTTTTAGCGGATTTCCTTTCCATAGATTTTTTTCTGGCAGAAGGCGATTGCGCTCATCTTTATTTCTTCTTTCAGCAGCTCCCAGTGCTCAGCGTTCACTTCACGACTTTTCGCTTTCTCTGTGATAAGCATTTTTAACTCTTGTTGAAGCTCCTCCTCCTCAAGCGCGCTTTCGTTTAGTTTCCACGTTCGATCTGCACTTTATAGAAAGAAACAGTCGCGCGAACATTGGAGAGAAACAAACACAATTCAAATATTTAACCCTTTTTAAAACTTTTATAATGGCCCGATCTAAAAAAAAAAGAAAAAAAAAAGATTTTCTCAAAGTTCCCAGCGCGGCAGATCGGGGCAATATGTTGAACCATTTTAGAAAACAAATCTCGGTATTTAACGCCGTATTTTTTTTATTTTCTTTTTATTTGTCACTGCGAACAGCATACAACCACTACGGACGGCTGCACGTACATCGTGGCCGAACAGAACAACGGCTGGATGAATAAGTGACAAAAGGGCAAACATTGCGCAAAAAAACATGGGCAAAGCAACATGCAGACAGGATAAGCACTGACTCAACTGAACATCAAAACAACTTGAAGGACGCTTAAGCTTCGGCTTTAAATGTGGAACGCGAGAGGGCTATCGGGCCCCGCTCACATCGGCTTCTCATTCCCTTCTCAGGCACTTCCTGCCAGTGAGCAGGGACTGTGTTCGATATGGCCAGTCAGTAGGGTGTCTGGCACGCAACCGAAGGGTCGCGGGTCCGAATTCTGAAATTCTCCAAGTTTTCTTGCTATTTTATATAGTGAAATCATTTGAGACATGCGGCGATTTTTAAGTCTCACTAGACGTCATGTTTTTAATCACTTTTATTACACGCGTGACGCCAAGTTTCAAGTGACCGTCGAGGGTTGTTTTAAAATTCCCGCGAGAAGAGATGTGGTTGTGACGTCATGATCCTATCGACCAATCAGGATTTTTCCGGCACGATGCTACCGACGCCGACACTGGCCTTTCTGCTACAAGAGCTCCTTAACGCTGCGCTTTAGAAAAAGCAAAATCGGTAAAAAAAAAACGCGTCTTACATTTATACTTATGAAATGTTATGAAACTTCCCGACACTACCCTTAGTGCAGCACCTTGCTCAATAAAATGGTGTCTACTAAGGCAATATCTCTGCTTTGTAAATTTAGCGACGTCTGACTGACGCCTTTTTTATCCCCTTTTTTAAGCGCATATGCTTCTAAAATTACCATAGTCATTCGGTTTCTGTACTTGCCAGTAATCTCAACATTTTTTTCAAGATGGGTCCGCACTCAAAGCCACAGACACCACATGTTTAACGTTTCCAATATTGCTCGTATTTAATTTTCATTTGAGAGTAAGTAATTGTGCTGTGTGCACTTTTACATTGTCTTTGTTTTTTGGGCCCTGTTTTCCCTTTTCTCATCATCTCCCAACTAACCCACATCGCCTATGTAAATCAGTGAGCCGGTGTACTGGAGGGAATCTCGAAAAACGCTGAATGTGATGCGAAGACACAATTCACTGCCTTACTGGGTGGAGATGGAGGAGCACGTGACCTTGATGGACGCGCATATGCCCTCAACGAGACTCATGAATGCGGCTAGAGGGCTGAAAATATTAAATGCAAAAAGTGGTGTTTTTTTAACGCTTTGGCTGCCTCCAAAGACAACATGTAGTCCGTAGTAACCTATCCTTTCAGCGAACAAGAGCAGTGGTGGAGGCAAGCCGGAAGTGAAAGGTCTTGTTCGGGAAATACGACCCGGCCAGTTTACTTCCAAAGCTTCATTATGATATTGGAATTGAGAGCTTTCAGACATCTTTTAGGAGGGCACAGCTCACACCTTTCCAGGACCGGGCAGAGCCAGCTACATGGCACTGTCCAGCCTGGGAGCACAAGGGTAGATTAAACTCAGCTACAGTACAGCGTTTCTTGGGAATCCGGTCAGCTTACTAAAGTCCCTAAAAAGTAACGGCTGGTTTTCATTTTCAAGAATTGCCGATCGTAACGTTAGAGTCATACCGGCCACGCCAGATGCATCGTCAATTTAATGAAGCACATGATCATCAAGCCCCTTTCGTGGCATCTGGATACTGTGGCATCTGCACTTCGAGAAAGCGACATTTTCTTCGTGACAGCTATGAACGTAGACTTTTATTTTTCTTAATTACATAAGCTTGTATTTACACCACTAATACTTAATATTCGCTCGTTTCATAAAGTTTCATTTTTTATTAACCTAACGTTTATATACATCAGGCAATCGAAAGCGATAGGACGAAATTCATCAGAAATATCAATTGCATTTGCTATCTCATTGACATCAACAAGAAACAAAAACGGCAGTGAAGGAAAGCCCCGAGAAACGCCGATATTAAATGGTAGAAATGACAACGATTATAATAATTCTAATAATTTTAATTGTGACTTATTTCCGCAATTGAATGCTAAACAACTAAGATTTTGAGCGTGTTTTCGTAGATACTTTACATTGCTCTGCAGGCAAAAAATATTTAGCTATGTGCATGCTCAACAACGAAACCAACTTCCATTATTACGCTATTTCGCAGAAACAGCCCGTTTCGTATTGGAGCCGTGAATACAAGTTTCTTGCGATTGCCAACCGTATACCTTTAAGACAAGGCCGTAGTTCTTAATGTTACTTATAATGTAATGACAAATGTTTCGAGCTGCTCTAAGATCACATCACCCATTTAACCTCATGTCACGCAAAGCATAATGATAGCTTAGACCAAAAATAGAATGCGACAAACTCCTGCTCCGTACTCTAGCACTCGGACTACAAATATTTTGAAAACTAAAATTTCTCTTTGTGCGTCCTATACAGGGACTTGATTTTTTCTATTGTTTTTATGGCGTGACAAAATATGTGAATTACAGAGCTTGCTAATATAAATTTCGCCTGATTGAAGCCTTTCTGAAAGTTATTAAAACAAGCCTCCCACGATATATGCTTTGTACAATTTTTTTTCCGTGCGGAGTAGGCGCCAGGTGAGGTATATGGCGGGGTGCGGGCTGTGTTCGGAAGTTGCTATAAATATTTTGTTTATTTTCAAATGAGATTTACATCCTCGAACTGTACACCGGATGCTGATTATAGACAAAAAACTACCTAATTTTTGTCTTGTTGGAATGTCAAGATTTTATTTC